GCTCTGACAGGAGTCACAGCTGGGGGCTGCACCCAAAAAGGGAGGAGGCAGATCTCCAGTGAGTCACCTCCTTCTGGAAGAGGGGTGCTTACTTCCAAGGTGGTTTTATTTCAAGCAAAGACAGTCACTCCTAAGTCATGCTAAAGCAACACTATACGCTGACCAGGCAGAGAAAAATGTCCATGCAGCCTCTCCCAAGCAGGGCGGGTGGCAAGTGCCGTGATGGGGAGTGACGGACCCCATCTGCAGCCCTGGTCCCTTTCGGAGAGCCCTTCCTCCTCTCTGAATCCTAAACCCCAAAGTGGACAGGAAAGAGATGGAAAGGGGCCTGGAATTCAAACCAGAGCAGCTGAGCTCCCCAGGAGGGATGTGGTCCCCCCCTGCAGTGAGTCAGGGACCTGGAGGACACCCAAACCGCACCACCCCGGCTGTCATGCAGCCACTGCGGTCACATGTGGAGAGCCTGCCAGCCCCAATTCCTGTTAGACAGAGTAATTTGTCATAGTGGGGGCTATGGGAGGCAGGAGAGGAGAATATGGATGGCAGGAGGAGAGAGTGGAAAGAGGATGTCTCCTGAGAATGTCAGGAAAGCTCCTACACACACTACATAGATAAATACCACTTTTCTGTCCCTAATTTTGACACACATGAAAATAGAAATTCTTTCTATGCCTGCTGATAGAACCAGGAGGGGATCTCAGCACCTCTGAAGAGTGTCCCCAGCGGTCAGACACTCCTCAGAGACCCCCTTCACATCAGGATGGAGGCAAAGAGAGAAATGCAGATGTCCACTCACTCCCCCTTCCCACAATCCCTGCAGATCCAACAGTGGAAAAGCACCCCGTACTGGGCAACTTTAGCATCCCCCGAGGAAAAGGCAGGATTCCTCCCCATGCACAACTTGAAACCCTTTATTTCCTTTCACTGAAGCATCTTGTAGCTTATCTGCCCAGGAAAAGGACCCACGTGAAGCCTATCACTTCAATCCACCATCATTTCCCTAAAATTGCTAGGGGCTTGGGTTGATTTGGCTTGCAGGTGGGGACCACCAGGAGAGACTCTCACAGGGGGTCAGGTGGAGAAGCTCGGGGTCTTCTGAACATCACTACACAACAGCCAGTAACTTCAAGTATGATGGTGGCACTAAGTCACATCAGCTTCTCATCTGGGTCGCTGAGGTTTCACAGTACGGAGTCAGCAGCTTCCCCAGCTCTGGTTAAACCAAGTAGTCAGTGAGCTAAACAGGAAAAAATGGTCTGAAGCCAAGCCTTTCAAAGCTGAAATGACTGTGGCTTATACATAATCTACCACTAAAATAAGTCTTGGTTTTCACTGAGCTCGCTCTCTGGTGCACATTCCTGCATCGGCTGCTCCAAATTGCATCAGGCGGGAGTGTCACACTACGGCTTGTTCGCAGCTTGGACTGTGGCTTGGTTTCTGAAGGGGTGAGCTGACAAATGAGGTAGACTCAATCTTGCCATGCAGCAACAGCCTTGTGTCGATATTTGGGTGTTGTTTGGGCAAGCCTCTGTTAAAAGCAATGTATTTTTCCCAAAGCTTTGGCCAGGAACTAAATATGCTTAGAAGGGACAAGACACAAAAAGCCTATCCACGAGCTTCTTTCCTCTGGATGAATGGCAGTATTACTAATATTATAATCCATCTATCAATTGAACGTGATTGAGGACCCATTTCTGCCAGCCCTTTTTTGATGGTACCAGATGAGGGTAGCCAAGCCAGAGGGCATGAGGTTTCTAGTTGGGTTTTCATTCTATCTGCCCTCCCATTTCTTGAACCTCTCTTTAGCTACTGCTAAACAGAGGAATGGCTTACTTCAGCTGGTAGAGTTTGGGGTCAAACTTCCTTTAAACCAAGGAGTTAACCCCCACAAGGGCTGGACACTGTACCCAACAACTTCAGCAAAACTTAGAAGTCATTAGTGATGCTTGCCTGAATCTGCAGAGAGTTTAACAAAGCAGTGGATAGCTGTTAGGTCCTCAAACAAAGGGGACCTTGGTTTGCTCCCTTTGGAGATAACCAAGCATCCTGGGGTCTTTTCTTTTCACAGTTCAGAAGAGGATGGGATTGCCCAGGTAACAGAAGCGATGTCCCATGGGAATTGCAAACAAGCAGCAGAGAAGCACTGACCTGATGAGCATGACTAAACACACACTCCATATAAATATATACTGCTTTTTTTCTACTTCTCCTCTGGTTTCCTGACATTAAATGAAGGCATAAGACTGGGCTCTGCGTACAGGCTAGCAAATCACTCACCACATGAACCGGGGCTGTCTGGAGATTTTACATCTTTTTTCCATTAAGAACAAGAGACTGTTGTAATTCTGGCACTAAGATGAGCTGAGGGCATCAGTTTCCACGCAAGTCCCTATGATATCAGCCTGATTATGGGGAAAATAAAAGTTCAGCAACACAGCAGTTGGAGGAAAGCCAAAGAACAGGCAAAATGAGAGTCTCAGCCCTTGTCTGAGCAAAGGTAAGAGAGGACATTTTTTCTGCTTTCTCTCTTTTAGCACAGTCAGTTTGCAACCACACATTGCTACCATATAGTAGCGTTCCTTCTTGATAAAAAGCCTATGTTTGCATGGCTGGCAGGTTTGTCATCTTGCCGTTTGTCTCTCACAAAACCCAGGAAAAATGAATACTTATCTTGAAGGTATTTATTACAAGAGGCGAAAGATACAATGGAACTGAGTTGGCTTTGGGAAATGGTCTGTGAACTGTAGAGGAAACCATCTGAAATTACACCAGTGATTTAACAGACACATATTGCAAACGCATTTTTACATGCAGATATAAAAGAGGAATTACACTTCTGGGAGCCCAGTTTCCAGTCTGTTAGCATGGTACTTCACACAAAGACACGCTGGCTCCTGTAGCTCTGGCTCTGGAAGCTCTTCATCAAATTCTGCTGCATGGTAGAAGCTGAGGAGAAAGCAAATCTCATCCTGGCACTCCCAAAATCTCACCTGAAAACTTCTGAAGCTTCACCTCTGCAAGCTCTCGTTTTGAGGATCATCACTGTCATATTTCAGGCCACATTTTAATATGTGTATATAACATACACACATGCATTTGCATGCCAAAGCCCAAAAGAAAAGGCTTTCCTTGAGGAACCAGATCCAATAAGAGTCTGTTTCCTATTTTGGATACCGTCATCACCACACCAACTGCTTGCCCCTGGGTGGAAGGAGAGAAGCAGCCAGAGAAATAAAAGCTGCCTGAAATTTTTTGTCAAAATCTAGATGTGTCATGAGGAGCTTGAAACGGAGACGTTCCGAAAGTGAAAATTCCTGCATCAAAAAACAGCTCAAGGAAGGTTTCCAGAAATGTTTTTATCCCCCCTCCCTTCCATTTCATGAGGTGCTAATGATGGCATGTCACAAGAGAGCACAGAAGCTCAACTGTCCTATTGTATTTTGAATATCAACCATTACTCAGCACCAATTTAAAACACCTTTTTTTAATGTCAGGCTTTCGTTACACAGGAGCCAAGAGACATTTCAAAACAAAGGTGTTATTCAGAATGCATAGGGAAGTCTGTCTCTTTGGCTTGGTAACGTAAAACCTATTTTTAGTCAAAAAGAAGACAGTTTTTGGAAGGGTCACTGAGAAAGCACAATTGGCAGATCCCAAGGTTGGCTGAATGACTCCTTCTTACTGAGCCACCCAGCCGTGAGGACTAGGACAGTGGCAGATGGCCTGGCCATCACCAGGAGAAAAACTCCTTTTGTCTTAAACACAAGCCCATAAACTCTGAAATCAAATGTAAGCCACGGTGGATGTGTCCTATTAGAGAAATACTGAAACAGATCTGGCCTTTCAAATATTAAAATATTTTCCAGTTGCAACTGCCCTCTGTTTCGGTGCATGTTCCCTTCCCCTCCATCCCCATCTTCATAGCGATAAACAAATCAGCCCATACACCCAGAGCCCATCCTCTGAAGTTGAGCCATTTAATGAAAGAAATGAAAAACAAAGAAAAGAAAAAAACATCAGACAGCAAATTCCAATAACTTGGTGTCAATGCTCATGATTGTAGTAGTGTGTGTGGGAGAAAATCCTCCCAGAGAGGCAGACTGAGCTGCTGATATTGCTGGACTACTTTTTTTCCTTAGGAGTAAGGAAAACAAAGAACCCAATAAGGGTAAAATCTGTGTGTCTTTAGGTGCACATTTAAGGTAACTCTGTCTCACAATAGGAGAATATAATGGTCTGGGGAGACAAGTGGGTTTTTCCCCTGCCACACAGTTCTCTTGGATGTATTTTTGGTGAATTCCTTTGTGTACCACAGGAGTTTACAAAATCAGTTCCTGCACTGCCACATGCTCGCACTCTGCTCTTCACAGTCCTATTCCCACTCTGAACCATGGGCAATGCTCTGATGTTCATCATCAGGCTGGAGAGATGGCAGCATTTTAGCACAAGCATTTCACAAAGATACCGTCTCTGACATCTGTGAGGAAATGTGATTTTATGGCACTCTAGCAAGGCGTTTCACCTGAGGGTGAAGCAGAACTGAAACGTGCTGCTAAATGCAGATGCTGAACAGAGGTGATTTCACACTTAACCCCAGAACGCAGACAGAAGGTAGCGTTATTGCTGCCAACAGTGAGTTTTTCCAGAATTGGCTCTTTTTCTGAAAGAAGTTATCTATTCTTGTAAGATAAGGCCAACTGCACTCCTGTGGAACTGAAATATCTGAGGGTGTTGGGATATTTAAACAGGATTTTCTGGTCCCATCCTCTTCTGGCAATGCTGGTGACCGGGTGAAGCTGAAGATGGCCTTTGCTGGAGCTGAAGGAATGCCTCCTCAGCTTGCTGGTCAGCTTTGGGACACAACTGAAAAAGAACAACATGACCCAGCATTGCTCAAAGACCCACAATTAACATTTATCAAGAGCTGAAAAGACTCTTCAAGTCAAAGAAGCCACCCAGGCATCTGCCTGTATGGGACTGTAGGGACTTTGGACTTGTAGATATGGCAACAGTGAAAAACCTTTGCAGCAGCAGCATGGCTTGAAGACCTCAGACCCCTCCAAGGCAGCACAGCATGTGTCTGCTACCCAAACCAAGCAGTGTGTCATGAAGAAAAGAGCATTCTTGGGAGAGTTTGACAGCACCAGAGAGCCCTTAGACTGCAGCTACCGGGAGGACCAGGAGATACGGAGATGCTACAGCAAGAGGTGAGTTTGCAAGCACCTGTGATTGGTGTTTAAACTGACGTGCAGCAGGCCAAAATGGACCAGAAGTGATACGAGCACTTAAAGCAACAAAGTGTAAACATGGAATTCAGGGTATGTACAGATCAGCTTGTATCCATCAGTGCGCATTCAAAATAAACGAATATTCAGCCTGCACATGAGAGGATTTGGTGAGTATTAAACAAAATTGAGAGGACACTTTGATCTGTGAAAACCAACAGAACTGTGACCAATGGCTCCAAGCAGCCCTGTGAAAAGCCAGAAATCCTAGACTAAAGTAAGGCAAGAATGTCATTTATCTGAGGTGCAACAAACACATTTATGTGTGAGGTTAAACTCAGCAAGCAGCACAAAGGAGGTGGCTGAGAGGATGGGACTGTGCCACCACACTCCTCATTAAAGAGAACTCATCACAAGGACTCTTCACAATCCGTTTTGCTCTCATTAATTCTGATGCAGGTGCTTGGGAAATTAGAAAAGCTGCCAAGAAGTTGTGCGTGCTTCCCACATGGATGCGATGCTTTAGAAAGCAGGTCAGTTTCCAGGAGAAGTGCTGGAAATGGGAGAAAACTTAAGTCAGTTGCTGGGCAATTCTGGGCAACCATGCCATGGTTGGCAACCATGCCTGGGTAGCCATCCATCCATCCAGCCTTTGGATGAAGTGACCATGATAGTGGAATCATAGAAGAGTCATAAAGAAGTCATAAAGGAATCACAGAGCCATAGAGGAGTCAGCATAACTACACTCATGTTATGAAGCCAGGGTTATGCCTCAGCAAAATAATAATTTTCAGGCCAGCTATCAAATTCTGCTACCCAGAAACCTAGAAGCTGGGTTTGCTGAAGCTGATAGGATTTGTAACATCAATCATGAGCAAATCACCACCAAATATAGTTTAATCTACACATAAACTTAAAAATATTAACAAGTTGGGGGGTTGGAACTAGACGATCTTAAGGTCCTTTCCAACCCTAACTATTCTATGATGCTATGATTCTGTTCTAAGTTGGAGTGGCTGCTGGGCGTATCTTTCTGTAGCACAAGTTCTGTGATGGCAAAACCTCACTTTTTTATCAAGTGCATTAAATGGAGCATGCACAACTGGACATGCCAAGATTTCCTCCCCTAACACAAGAGCCAAGTGTAAATCTAAACCTTTTCTCATCAGCATGGAAAAGCATTAAGTAAAAGTCCCACAAAACAGACAGGGGAAACAGAAAACAACCCGAGCCAGGAGAGAAGGTGTGAAATTGGATCTTGGAAAACCCTTCCACATAAAGCCCCTTTCTTGTTTTATTGCTTTTCAGTGCTCGCTGCTGCTGTGGTGCAGCCAGGCCATGTCCAAGGCTGCAGCTCAGCCAGCTGTGCTGGCAGGGGGCAGGAGCAGGGCCACCGTGCAGCCCCATCAGCCACCCAGGAGGGAGGTGATGAGGGAGCTGACATCCCTCATGACACAGCACGGCACCAGTGATGCTGGGGAAGGCCAGAGTCCAGGAAACAAGAGTCTACAGGCTTGTTAGGTCTGCACAATATTTACTCCCACACTTTCCAATGGCTCCACAACTCAGGCAAACAGGACTAGGTGGGATACAGATCTAAAATCCTGGAGAGATGAGCAGGGCCTCATTAGCTCTGGCTGTGCCTGCTTTCTGCCTCCAAGGCTACAGGACAGGGGCTCATGTCTCTTGCAGCACTTTCCCACAGAAGACCACATGAACTTTGAGTCACCAAAGGGTGTGAAGGAGGAAAAGAAACCTGCAACCTCTGGCTGTGTCTCTCTCCTTTCCTCCTGCCTCCCTGCAGGTGGACCGACTGCTGGGCAGGTTGCGATGCTCATCTTTTGGCCTCATTTGAGAAGGGGGCACTGCAAGGAGAGGTTTTGCTGGACTCTAAGAAAAGTACAGGGAAGAGAAGAGCTGATGGGAAGCATTTTCTGTTAAGACATATCTTGCACATAAGGTGAAGGTGTGAAAAGCCACATGGTCCCTGAAGAAATGCATTACTGAAAACACCAAGCAAGGATACTGTCGTGGTTTAAGCCCAGCCGGCAACTTGGAACCACGCAGCCGCTCACTCACTCCCCGCCTCTTCCTTCCCCTCCCCCCCAGCTCCCGGAGGGATGGGGAGGAGAATGTCACTCCTGTAACTTCCATGGATTGAGATAACAGCACTCCAGTAACTAAGGTATAATACAAAACCACTACTGCTACCAATAATAATGATAAGGGAAATAGCAAG